TCTTTATAAAATAATAGCTTTTTTTTTTAAAAAAAAAAAATTTTCCTTCTTTTATTTTATTTTATAATTTAGTCCCTAATTATTATTTTTTTCATTTAGTTTTTATACCATATTTGATACTTATTATATTAATTACTGTTTGTTTTTAAAAAAAATTATAATTAAAAATTTTACTTCGTAAATTTTTTTGTGTGTTTACCTTTTCGTACGATAAATATATTCTCATGATTTGAATCATTGGTTAATTTTGAATATTAACTCAAATTAAGTTAGGTTTTTTTTTTTATCCTTTACTAATTTGTTTTTTAATTTTATCATTTGACATTGGGTTATTGGAGCTTGAACTTTATTATTTGTTCAACTTTTATTTTTTTGAATTTATCTTGATTTTATATCCTAAATGGAAGGTTAATCAAATTAATCCGAGTTGACTTAAAGTTTTTTTTTTCTCGAATTATTTTTAAAAAATTAATTTTTTCGTTGTTGTTTACTCTTGAGCTTTGTGATTCTTTCACTTTTTATGTGGGGTCATCCAATGTTTCTTTTATTTAACTTTAATTTTTTATTCTAGATTCTTTTTAATTTTTTTTTATCTTTATCTCATATTGTGGATGGTAGGTTAGTTAAGTTAACTTAAGTTGACTCGGTTTTTCTTTTTTATGTTATTTTTTTTAAAATTTATTTTTTTTAAATTTTATTATTTAACGATAGGTTATTAGGCTTTGAGCTTTGTTATTTTTTTTTTACCTTTTTTTTTTAAGGTAATCTTGATCTTATATCATATGTCGCGTATTAGTCAAGTTAACCTGTATGGATTGGGGTTATCATTGCCTACACATCTTTTATTATTTAGGAAAAACTTAACCAAACCCGCAACATAGTAAAAAACATTTGCTTATTCACTATTAAAAAGAGATTTATAGCATAAGCAAGACAATGTTTGTTTTTGTGGTTGGAACACACTTTTAAAAAATTTAAATTTTTTTCTTGGCTTTTAATTGATTTTTTTATGTTTTTGAATCATTTTAATACACCTATATCAAAAATAATTTTTTTTAAAAAATAAATTTTAAAAAATAATAAGAAGTATTATTTTAATATATTTTTAAACCAAAATTATTTTAAAAAATAATATTTTATAATAACAAACATTGTATAATTACCATCACCAAACACTTTCACTTTTTCCATTTCTCAATAATTACTTGCCATTTCTTGCTCGCATCCCGTGCTTTTAGCTATCCTTCAAACTTTTCCACTTCTTTCTTTGTCAACATCCAATTCCTTCCCCTTAGAAAACAAGCTATGGATGCACTTTTATTAATTTATGAATTATAAGATATAAAGTGTAATTTTTAAAAATATAAAAAGTGAAATAAAAACATGATTAAACTATAAGAGATTTTTATAATTATTTCTAAGAATTAACTTGGAATGCTATGGATGCACTTAAAAACTGCTATGCTCATTTGGAAAAAAGAAAAGAAAAGAAAAGTAAATTATACTCAAAATGATAGTTAATTCTGGCCTATAATAAAACAAATAGGGACTCCAAGTAAATTTATGTGTTAGTGTCACGACCCGAATTCCGGATCCATGACCGGCACATAGGCAAGGTTCCCCTCCAAGGTTCCGTACCTATGCGAACCCAAACTTACATACAAATTTATCCTAACTCAATCAGAGTTCAACGCAGTATTAATAACAAAATCAACTTCATGATATAATTTGTGGAAATTACAGTTTAGTCCCCAAACTTTGGAAAATTTACAGATTGGTCCCTGGGGCATATTCCGAGATTCTGAACAGAATAAAAGATAAATTATGGGCAGAATTCCTGTATAGTTATGAAATTTTAACACTTTCAATTTGGTCCTTCAATTTGACAAAAATTACCATTTAACCCTAAAAATTTGATAAAATTCCAGAATGGTCCCTGGAGTATAATGAGGTGATCTGGACAGAAATGATGATTAATTATGGTCAGAATTCAGTATAGTCATGGACTTATGATAATTTTAGTTTGGTCCTCCA